TCCAACACATTTTGTAGTAAACGCCAAGCTACATGTTCAGAAGTATCACATGGTACACATTTTCTAGAGGTTTTTCACTTCAGACAGAAGAGAATCATATGTCTGAATCTTTCCTGCTTTTTGAAAGTTATCACATGAAGAAAAAGGCTAACCTAATGGCTTTTCTATGATGCTGATTCTCAGTCTTGGATGTGAGGCAGTATTCTTGTTCTACAGTTCTCTATGGGTGGACAAAGGAAGTGGGTTGACTAGAAACTGATTCCCTAGGATAGTCCAGTTGAATGACTTCTGACATCTATCTGAGATTCAACTTTGTGAGGAAGTTGTGTTAGCCCTTCATAGAATCATAATATCTGCTTTTTCAAGAAGTGGTCTATGATTTATAACTCTGTTTAGGAGATGACCAGAGGGGTAAGGTTGCTTCAAACCTGTGCCCTTATTGAGTTATAAATATCCAGGGGTGGTTTTGCTTTATGTTGAAGGAAAGTATGAAATTGAGGAGTGGGTCACAAACTTAGTACTGCTGGCTTTTTATCTGCTTTATTATAAGACGAGTCCTTAGATATTAAATAGTGAATGTTCAGCCTGTAGTCAGTCAAGCACCTGAGAAGCCAAGCCAAGAATGGTGGAGGTTTGTACCGGCCAAAACTACAGCTCTAGAAGCAGCTTTGACAATGTGCCTATTATTGGCAAAGTGAAACTTGGAAAGTGTTCTGCTTAATGGGCAATTCCTATGAAGTTCATTAGAGAGGTATATGTTCACAACCTATCCCATCACTGAGGCAAACTGCAGCCCTTATGCAAAGGAAGGAGGACGAGTGGTTCTTCAGCCTATCAGACCACGAGAACTCTAAGTCAGGATGACATACCATTTTTCTGGGGCAGTAATGAATCAATTACATCATTATGGATCACACAAGTGCCCTTTCCTTAGAATCATTTCAACACAAGATATGCTCATACTACTCTCTTCCCTTCCAATGAAGTATATTATGTTTCCATTTCTCTGCCTCTTAATGCTTTGACTTTGTGGAAGTCAAGACAAAGCACCACTAACTACTAGTAATGTTGATTCTTGTCCAGAGTGGACAAGTATCCACTATGAGCCTAGGCTGTTAGAGAAGAGGGCATAATCGCTTTATAATGAACTCATTTCTATTTGCTTTACTAAAATGATCCGCTTATAGAATCAACCTTGGTTGCCATCTGTTCTCAGGCCATCATCCAACCAAAATATGTCTTTGTCATGCCCCTTTACTGTATGCATAAATAACTCACAATATTCAAAGTCATTTGATACTGTCTATGTATCCTCTACATGTCTCCTGTGTCTCACAAAGCCTGCCTATATCTTCCTTACAAATATATCTCTAGATAATGATAGGCTCTGAGCACTACCAGATTATCTAACTCTTTTCTGCCTGAGGATAGTTTCTGAACTTGAGAACTTTTCTTGTAACATTTATATTTTATTAGCTTCATAATCATTTTCACAAAGCCCAAGATACCAACAGTCATTTTACAGCCTCTATGTATCTATTATCCCCTTTCCCAGTCTTATTTGGTTCTTAGTTTAAATTCTTACATTGATTAATACTTTAATAACCACCACTACCAATCATGAACATAGACCATACTCATTGTTTGTAACACACTTACTTCATATTAGTACACTTAACCTAGAAGGGACAGTAAGGCACGTTTTTACCACAACTCTCTAATACTGGAGTCTTGCTGTGGTGACAGTGATTATACTATTAAGCTAAGAACACCCATACTGAGAGTAAGGGCCTCACCAACTTCATCTGGCTAAGAATGAGGCATGCTAATTCGGGTTCACCACAATGAACATATGCTGCCAATGTTGCACCAGGTATTCTCGGCTTTCAATTCATTTCTGGACCCAATACAAAATGCTGGTTTTACTTTGAAAGTTCCTGAACACTTTGGGCCTAAAGTACCTGAAGGACTGCCTATATTTATTTGCTTGCTGCCAAGGAGGTCTGAGGGACACCTGGTGGGATCCTCTGGGAATATCTTCTCGGCAGGTGCTCCTAGACTCTGGAACTCTGTTCCCCAGGATTGTCATCTATCCTCCTCACTGCAGGCCTTTCAGTGTCAATTAAAGACTTCTAATTATTTCAGAAGGCCTTTTAGTAGACCTGTTAATCCACCCTGAGAATAACTGAGAAAGGCACAGTATAAATGAAGTAAATAAATGTTTAACAGAACTTTTATCTCAGGTTTTAGTTACCATTTTAAGGTCTTAATACTATGTTTCGCATTTGATTTTTTAAAAATTACAAGCTACACTGGGCACAATTTTATGGAAATGTTGTATATAAATGCCGTAAATAAATAAATATTCAGAAGATACTGAAGTTAATTAGGAAGCATCTCAATGGGGGTTGCTACTCACATTGTTCCAGTATCACTTGTGGCAGTCAAGTATGTTAGTCAATTGAAGCACTTTACAAGTCAGCACTTGTCCACTGACCCATGTCACTGTTTCCCACAGACATTTCTTAGCATGACAACTTAGTGACATTAAAATCCACAGGATTAATTTCAGAGAATGAATGCAGTGATTAGTGTGTCAGACTGAGAAGTCTGGAGTTCAAATCATCACTCAGTCATTGAACTCATTGGATCAGTCATTCTCTCTCAGCCTAACCTGCCCCACAGGTTTGTTCTAATGATGTGTGCTATGTGTATATTACCCTGGGCTTCTTAGAGAAAGGGCAAGTGAAATAAATAATATTGCAGTGAATATATGATGACATAACAGCTGACATACATCATCAGCCAACAGTTGTCCATATCTCATAAGTGGCTTGTTGCAGAATTTAGTAAGTTTTATAATCAGTATCATTTAACCAATCAATAATGGTGGATATTAAATTCTGGCGGCAAATTTTTATTCTAAAATTTGAATGCCAAATTTCAAGGGCAAATTTCTATATCAAAACAGGTATTTTGAAATTTTTGCAATGTTCTGTTTCAGCTCTACAATGTATGAACTAGGCCCTTGAACCAAACACAATGTTAATGATTAAAACAATATCATACTTATGGCCTTTCTGAATGAAATACTTCATTCATCTGAAACCAACAAAAATATCTGACATTTGACACAGGTACTTAAAGAGAATAAAGAGAAGAGAAGAGATTGGATTTATACCCCGTCCTTCACTACCCAAAGGTGTCTCAGAGCGGCTTACAAACTCCTTTCCCTTCCCCTCCCCACAACAGACACCCTGTGAGGTAGGTGGGGCTGAGAGAGCTCTTGACAGAAACTGCTCTTTTTCAAGAACAGCTCTTATCAGAACTACGGCTTGCCCAAGCTCATCCAACCAGGTGCAAATGGAAGAGTGGGGAATCAAACCCGGTTCTCCCAGAGTAGAATCTGTGCAAAGGCAAACATCTGTTATTTTCCATGATAACTTAATGACACGTCTTGTTATTTTCCAAATGTAGCTGCTGGGGCAACTTTTTGGAGAGAAAGAAGGGGCTGGACGAAGAGGAACTCTTACTCTCATGCTGAAAGGAGATACCCTTCAAGCTGCTTGTACCCAAGAGGGCAAAACTTACAGCTACCAAAATGTATACCCCAATGTGGGTTCAAGCATCTTGGTGACAGCCTTTTTTTTCTTTAATAGCAATGGAGGAAGGCATGAAGGAGCCCCAGAAAAAAAATATTTAAATGATCATGGAAGAAAGCTTAAAATGCAGTCAGAGTTAAAAACAACCCACCCCCTTGAGATCTGCAGATAAACACTGGAATACTAGAGCAATAATTCTTCAGAAATTATTAATATAGTTCCATTCAAAGCTGTTTCAATGCCTTCACATTTTGCAGGGGTAGGAAGGAGGGGCAGCTACTAGAGAAATGGTGAAGCTGTCATTCAAAACCCAGTTTAAAATTCCAAGGCGGCACTTGATTGCTAGGATTCTCCTGATCCATGTTTCATAATGCCTTCAAAACCATAGCTTCAGTTATTGTTTGAACTATTCCTGAGTTTTGAACCTATTTCATACTCTGTATTCCAACTACAGTAGCATGAATAGCACCTTCCGATTTGATTAAAAACTGCAATTCTATGCCTTGTAGGCCCTGCAGAATTATAGCAAATCCCACAGGGCCCTGGCAGAGAGTTCCACCACTTAGGAGTTGAGGCCAAAAAGTCCCTGGCTCTGGTTGAGGATACCCAAACACTCTTTGGGCCAGGGACGTCCGATAGATGTTGGTCACTTGAGCATAATGCTCTCTGGGGGGCATATCAAGAGAGGCAGTCCCATAGGTACCTTGGTCCCTGATTGTTTAGGGCCTTAAAGGTCAAGACGAAAACCTTGAACCTGACCTGGTACTCAACTTGGAGCCAGTGCAGCTGGCAAAGCACAGGTTGTATATGTGCAGTTATCAGTGTCCCTGTAAGGACCTGGGTCACTGCATTCTGGATAAGCTGTAACTTCTGGATCAGCCTCAAGGGCAGCCTAGCGTAGAGCGAATTATAGTAATCAAGTCTAGAGATGACCGTTGCATGGCTGTATTTAAAGCATTTAAGCAGGGTATTTTCTTTTTATGGCTTCAATGTGTTTCTCTTAACATTGGGTTATGATTGTGGTTGCAATAAGGCTGAGTTTTAAAGGCACTTAAAGCATTTAAGTTATGTAGTAAATAATGTTTTGACATGTAAAAAAGTTGGGTAAAGGTATTTGTTTTCTGTGCCTAGCTAATAAATCCTGGGTTATAATCTGCTGGGGTTCAATTTCATGGTCTAATTTACACCTGTCTGTTTGCAATTCATGTCAAATCCTAGAAAAGAACTACTGATAAATGTGTCAGAGAGGCGTGTGTGTTCCTGTGTTTTGGACCCCACAGCCACTTCTCAGGTCCCAATTAAAACAGCTCTTTTATTAAGTATATCTTGCAATGTGGGGTACAACTACTGCCCATTGTCCTCATACAGATTTTCTATAGTGAGTCAAAAGCAACTTACTTTTGTACGTTATTCTTGTTATGGTGTCTCTGTTAAGCATACGATTTAGAAATGGATTTGATGATTCAGATACCTATGAGAGGCAAAAAATCATGATCAAAAACTAGTTACTGTAAGCTTCTTATTTGGAAAAACACAGCTATTTGATTTGCACACAGGTGCAGCGGTGTCCTGTTATAAGTCGTATAGCAGAAGAGGCAAAAAAATATCAATAATAATAAAACCAATATTAAATAGTTACTGCAGACTCAATGGAACTGTTTTATCAATGACTTCTTCCAATAAGTCAAACATTTCTTCTGACCTTTCAGTTAAAGTTAGAACACACATCCATCACTGTGATATTTATGCCATTACGCAATATAAATTATTTTCATTTATTTGATTATACTTCATATTATTATTGTTCGTCTTTTTCTTTAGAGGTCCTTATTCTGTTTCCTTTTTCTCACTAATCAGCAGAGCCTTCTTTGAATCAAGTAGCATTCCATTAGTGGAATGTTCCTTGCATCGGAGAAAGCTCACCTGTTAGTATTACCAAAACAATGGATTCAGCTCATTGGATTGGATCCAGTGATCTGTAAACAGAAGGTACCAGCACTGCATATTTTCTCCTTGTTTCCCTCCCTGAACAGTTCTTTCTGACCCTAGGAAAGTTGGTTCTCAGAGTAGTGGAACACTCAGGGACTAATAGCCATGTGGGCTGGGGGCTTGTCTGTCCTGTTTTCCATCACTGCAAATCTGTTAACAGAAAAGATAAGAGAGGCAGTTTTGTCACCTTCCTTCTCCTTGTGGTCACCCCTCACCCCTGTGGCTATTATTTTATTGATAAAGAATGTATATGTTGCTTCTCCAGAGAGGTGACTGAAAGGTAAAAACAATACCATAATGTCAGAGATCCTGGTGGTCAGCCATGTTGGTCTGAAGCAGTAGAACAACATTAGAGTCCAGTGGCACTTTTAAGACCAACAATGGATTTTTCAAGGTATGAGCTTTCCTGTACATTTTTTCACAAATACTTGAAAATTTTGAAATATTTGAAAAAACGTGCATGCTAGGGCTGCCAAATGCAGCCAGGGGGCGGGGAATCCCCCGTTTCGGAGCCCCGATTCCCGGCGCGCCGGAATCGGGGCCCGGGGGAAACCCCACCCCCGCATGCGCGTCACCCGGAAGTGACGTCGCACGCTGGGGGCGGAGCCACGCCATTTGAGGGGAAAACTCTTTGTTTTCCCCTCAAACGGCGTGGCCCCGCCCAGCGTGTGATGTCACTTCTGGTGACGTCCTGGCGGCGCACGCGTCCCCCAGCAGCTCCCGGACCGGCCAGAGGATACCCCGCCGGTAAGTAATTTAAATTTGGCAACCCTAGTGCATGCACATGAAAGCTCATAGCTTGAATTTTGTTATAATATCACACAAACAAGCTGCGGTGGCTCAAGTGGTTAAGACGCTGAACTGCAGGCTGTGGAAGGTCGGTAGTTCAACAGTTCGAGACCCGAGTGTGCCGAATGATGGAGTGAGCTCCCATCTCTAGTTCCAGCTCCTGCCAACCTAGCAGTTCGAAAGCAATAAATTGCAAGTAGATAAATAGGTACTACTTCGGTGGGAAGGTAACAGCGTTCCGTGCGCCTTGGTGTTTAGTCATCCCGGCCAGATGACCACGGAAACGTCTTCGGACAGCACTGGCTCTTCGGCTTTGAAACGGAGATGAGCACCGCAACCCTAGAGTCAGATTCGACTGGCTTTCGAGCAAGGGAACCTTTACATTACCAGTATTAAAAAATAGCTATTGCAATAAGTCAGGTGCATAAAACAACTACTGAGGGCCCTAAAAAAATCCATAAAATAGACCTCAGACCAGAAACAGATTATAAACAGCAAAAAAGAAAAGCACATTTTAGTTGAAAGCCTGGGTTAAAGACACACACAAAGAGAGAGTTTTGTCTTCACACCTAAAAGACAGTAAGATAGCCACCAGGTGAGCCTCAATGGGAGGGCAAAGGTGAAGCGCCACCACTGAAAATGCCCTGTCTCTACTTAATCATCACCCATCTCACCTCTGAAGGTAGGGTTTCACAGTATGGGAAGAGGCAGTCATTCAAATACAAAGGCCCTAAGGTGTTTAGGGATTTAAAAGGTAAGAACCAGCCCTCTGAATTAGGCTGTGTGGGTTCTGTAACTCTGTCATTACAGCGAAAGCATCTACCTTCACTCCATCCAAGGTTGCTGTGTTCAAGTTTAAACTTGGGCATAAAAGAGCTCCTCCCACCTTGTCCCACTTCCAGTCACCAGGAAACACTGCTGCAAGCATAGCCTAAAGGTACAGTGTCTGTTTTCAACATTTTCATAAATCAGTACTATGCTTTGAGGTTTTATGGAATATTCTGACATGGAAACAGCTTTCTTCTTTGCTAGGCTACACAACTGCTTCTCTCTTCTGCTACTCTTTGAACTATATTCTCCTCAGGTCTCGACCTCTATTTTTATTGACACTTGGTTCTGGTGTTCATTTTGCAGTCATGACTCACAGGAACTTAGCTGGGAGGGTTGTGGAGTAAAGCCTGACTAAGAATTTTATATAGGAGTTAATCAGCCCTTGACATTTTGTCATTTGGGCTTGGAATTCAATGAGATAGCCACGCTGTAGGTTCCAGGAATGATTCAGTACAAAATTGTGTCCTGTACTGTGGGAAGTCTGAAAGCCATCGAAATACATTTGCTCCGCCATCCTCTGACAATGCTCTACTCTCTCTCTCTTCATTGTAAAAACATATGATCAATATTGGCACAAGAATAGAGCAGGGAAAATGACTTCCATTAAACTATAAAGTGCAGTTTTAGTTTTGCATCGGAAACTTGCAAGTTTTTGTTTATTTTCACAATTTCCCCCCTGACAACTACCCTATATTTCATATGACAGCACCCTCTTCTATCTGTTGGGCATAGTGATGAAGAAATGACTTTCTTTAGGATTATGTGTGACCTTTTCAGAAGACCTCTATAAATGGTAACAAAGAAATATTTAAATCAGCACATGCATGTTTAAATACATAGCTGTTCATCCTTCATGGTACTAAAAATATTAGCACTGCTTCAAAGATGGGAAAACAAAAACATGTTATTGAGACACTGATGCTAACCAACAGGCATCCTCTATTATCAGCTTGTCACCAGTTCAAAATGAACCTCACTAAAAATGTACAAAACCAGATTTTCAGAGGTGATTTGGGACAGAAGGCAGCATATTTGAATTAAACACAGTGAAAGCCCTTCTATCTTGGCTTTAAGTATATAAAAGGTAAAGATTCCCTTGCTTGAAAGCCAGTCGAATCCGACTCTAGGGTTGCAGTGCTCATCTCCGTTTCAAAGCCAAAGAGCCAGCGCTGTTCAAAGACATTTCCTTGGTCATGTGGGCGGCATGACTAAACACCAAGGGGCACGGAACGCTGTTATTTAAGTATATATACATTGCTTAATATGGTAGAGCCTTGAGTTCGTATTGGGACTTTTATGAGCCTCCAGTGCTCATTTGGGAACTACAGCACGTGGCCCTCAGTCTGGGAAACCAGCACTTAGTTTGATGTACGCTACCTATCACAGTCACATTAAAATCCATTTTAAAGGCCATTTGTAAAGATAGAAAGAGAGAGAGGAGGATTGGATGGGAAGAGAGATACTGAAAAGAGACCTAGAAGTGCATGCTGTGCAAACATCTTCAGAATAAAGACGACTGGTTGCACTTTTTAAAGGATTCTGTAAGTTGCATACTGGGGGACTGATCACAGTGATGGCTATTTCAATGGGCAGTCATTAAGAGCAGTCCATTAGAGCAAGATTCCCAGAGGAAGTTTGATAGTCAGAGTTACAGGATGCAGTTGCTGGCCATTGAAACGGCACCCAATCACTTAAAACCTCATGAAGGAAAGAGAACTCAATGTATATGAAATTGGACTGTACTTACTTTCATAAATATAGAAACTACCACCAAGCCATTGGGACTTTTTGCAGCTTCTGTAACATTTGTATATAACTCATGGTTATAGTGGATTAGCTGAACCTAAAGAAAAGAGAGGGAAATGAAGATTAAGCACTGGAGAATCAAATTCATTCCTCTCTTTTCAGACAACAAATGCCCTCTTTATAAATGCAGAGTTGCTTGCAACATGATCTCTACCAAGCTTGTAAAATTTCATAATCATTCTTTTATTTTTTTTTCCACGGGAGGTTTTGCAGCCTGCATGATTTTAATAATCACAGTGACCATCTGGCTTGTATTGGCACCATACCAGTTGTTTCTCCTCTCCATTGTCAATAAGTGAATTTAACATATTAAGATGCAAAATGCACTGCAGAAGTCGGCGCTGGTTTCCTCCTGCAATAGCCCTGAATACAGGCACTAAGTAAAATGTCCTTCCAGAGATCCAAGCTACAAAGAGGGATGGCTGGAGACAAACCCCTTGCACAAGCATGAGAGGCAAAAATTGACATGGCGGAGTCTAAAAATTCAAATCAAATACAGTTTGGGTTCATAACAGCCTCCCAGAGTTAAATGACTAATCACAGGATCGAGAACTGTATGCGTAACCCAGGGCTGCACAACTTGTTATCCAGCAAGCTGAATGCACCCCACCAACCACATATGGCAGCCCCCTACGGATTTAATAATCCTCCTATTATTTGCTGCCTGCTTGAGATTATATTTGATCCTTGCACTTAGCCTCTGGACACTGGAATACCCTTCTTCTTTAGGCTTACCCAGCACCTTTTTTACTGTCCTGCAGGTGCCGGGCCAAAACATTTCTCCTTCTCTAGGCTTTAAACTGAAAGGTTCTGTTTTCAAAGCTGTTTTTATGGTTCATCTCTAGCCTGAGGGCTGTTTAAATTAATGGCTGGTGAATGTTGTTTGTGTGACTTGTTTTAATATTGATGATTTTATCTCTTTTTCAAAATGATTTTATTGTATTTGTTTTTGGTTTGTGAGTGGCCATGAGCAGGCCTCAGAAGGAGACTTGGCATACGCCTTTCCTATAGGGTTGCCAAATCCTTTTCGTCTCGCGGCGGGGGGCTCCCAGACGGCGTCCCATGCTTTCCCCTCACCCCATGCTATGTTTTCCCCTCAAATGGCTGTGGCCCCGCCCCCAGCGTGCCCGGCGTCATCACGTCACATCCGGGTGACGTGCACGCCAGGGTGGGGTTTCCCCTGGGGCCCGATTCCGCGGCGTCGGAAATCAGGCCTCCAAAGCGGGGGGAAATCCGCCCCCTGGGGGGAATTGGCAGCCCTAATTTCCTAAAGAAATAAAAAAGCAGAAACAGGGGACAGACCCCTTGGGAGGCTATAATACGTATTGCAGGGTGTACAACTCTACCTTTGGCAATGGGGGGGGGTCTTTGGCAACAGTGGGGGGAGTCATGAACACTGGCGCTGTGTTCATCCTATTATGCTCCCCTTTACTGCTAGACATCATTACCCTCATCTATTACATTTTGATCCTGTCCTTTCTCCAAGATGATATATATGGTACTCCCCTCCTCTGTTTTGTACTCACAACAACCCTGTGAGGTATGTTAGGCTGACAGAGTGGCAAGCCCATAGGTAACATGAGCTTTTTTGCTCAGTGGGAATCTGAAGGCAGGTTTTTATGATTGTAGTCGGACCCTCAAACCACTATTTCTATGCTGTACACATTCCCTTGAGATATTAGAGTAAGGGTAGGCAGGACCATAGCTAGGATTATTTTTCCTGGGAGGCTTTTAAACTTTAAAGGGGGATTAAACTTAAATTCATTTGGAAGCAATTTCCCCGCTCACTCCAAAGCCCCCCATCTTTCGGGCCCAGGGACATAACTGAATTACACGTGGCCATCTGCGGCAAATCTGGTTCTCCTCCTGTTCCCAACGGAATTGCACATGACCCAGGGGCTATCTAAACCCAACTTCTGAACCTACCAAAGGGGCGCAGGGCAGCCTCGGACGTGGGTGTTTTCCCTGGCCGGTTCTGATATCTCTGTGCAGTGGCACTGGTAGAAGGGACGGCAAGGTGAGAGAGAGGGTCACGGCAGGAAGGCAGGCAGGCAGGAAGCAAAAAGGAGCCTTCTCAGGAAAGGGGGGTAGCAGCAGTGGGCTGGGGTTTGTTGTTGGTGCGGCTTGCCACAGTGCAGTGCGGGAGTGCGCACCTTTAAAAAAACTGTAAGAAAATGTTGGAAAACACCTTTCTGGGGAGAAAATCCTGTGGGGCTGTGGCTTTAAAAAGGGGACAGAGCCCCGAATAGCCCCACCATAACTATGGGCCTGAGGGTAGGAAGCATTGTGATGGAATTTGAAGCTTAACCTGGCTTAGCTCTAGTGCATTATTCGAAAACAATTAATCAAAAAAAGCGCAGGACCATATAAACAAGAAAACAAACAAAAAGCCACAGTAGCAAACACATGGAGGGGGAGGGGTCTTGTTTATGAAACATTTTGTGTACCTCATATCTCCCTTATTTGAGCCAAAAAAGTTCTACAAGGGACCTCCTCAGATCTAACAATATATGGCTGGGAAATTCACTTGGCTTGATACAAACCATGCAATAAAAAGTAGTGATGGAGAACTGTTTCGCTCCTCTCTCTGAGGCAAACCACACAATACATTTCATCCCTTGTTTAACAGTAGTTTGCTTGTGTTCCCTCAGCCACACAACAGCTGTGGGGAACTGCTTCTTAAAAAAAGGACAGTCCAAATGAGCATGGAATGAAGATGTGGGGGGAGGAAGGGCTCTTGCCTCCTCCTCAAGCAGGTTTCTCTTGTGAAAACAACATTTGGGGAGAACTATTTTGCCAGTTCAGATGCTCCATGTAGAGTATCTCTGCACACGAAGCAGTTTTACTTCCAACACAATAAAATCTGTACTGATGAGTAAGTGCCGCTGCCACCACCAATAAGGGAAGCCAGAATGAGTAGCACCTCCAAGAATTCAAGTGCGATTAAATATGTAGACTGTTAATGATAACTGCTTGCAAGTTGCAAAAAATACAGCAGTAGATCAATCAAAGACATTCAACAAAATGGAAGAATGCAAAGACACTTGTTAGCTTTAGGCACTCTCCTAGAGCAAACAGTGTGAACAAACAGGCAAGATGTGAAAAATGTTTTCCTTAATTTGCATTGTCACAATGAGAAAGTGGAAGATGGAAAAACAGAAGAAGGGAGCAAATACTGTGATGTCAAAAAGAATTTATTTTGAACAGCCAGTAGAAAAATGATGCGGTTGGATTTTTTTGAGGGATGGTTCATATTTGCTGGCAGCTCTCAATTAAGTGCTTGGGAAGTTCTGCTATCTACTGGGCTTCTAGCATGGTTGAGATTTACATGGAAGCACCACTTGTATAAAGTCATGAGTGGACATCTCCATATGGGCAGTTTATCCGTAGAAGCTCTAGTTTCTATGATGGCAGCAATATTTTTCTGAAGCACCATTTTCTCCTCCATGTGAGAGTGCCAGTTCATAGACTGTATCTGAACAGAATCCACAGCAAAAAATTCCAACAGAATTCCACAGGTGTTTGTTGTATGTGCGTTGGGCACCATATCTGATGACTCATGGAACACAGACTAAGAACATGACCAAGCACAGATTAAGAACTGAAGGACTGTCCTTCCCAGATCTCAAACAGAACGGATGCCCTACTGCAGCTATTTTCTCTCTTATACAGAAGATGTAGAATGGTTTTTGTATAAAAGTACTCTTTGGATGGATGTGCTTGAGAAACTCTCTCTCTGTCTCTGTCTCTCTCTCTCTCTCTCTCTCTCACACACACACACACACTCACACACACACTCACACACACACTCACACACACTCCTTTTTACGGCTGTAATGTGATCTCTTGTGAAGGAAACTGTGCACCTACTATGCATAGTCACCAGATATACATGGAGTTCAGTTCTTATATCGTGCCATAGGGAAGACATGCGAATCACTCTAAAAATGTTACATTGCGAGCCCCAAAAGTGAAGTCTTTCATGCAGAGAAGCAGTGTTGTATAGTGGTTAGACTACTGGAGTAGGATCTGGGAGACCTAGGTTCAAATTCCTGCTTGAACATGGAAGCTTGCTGGGTGACCTTGGGACAGTCACACACTCTCAGCCTAACCTACCCACAGGGTTGTTGTGAGGATAAAATGGAAGAGAATGATGTAAGCTGCTTTGGGTCCCTGTTGGAGAGATAGGTGGGGTGTAATTGAGGTAAATAAATAAAACATCTGCTTTCCAACACTTCTGTGTAATGCCAGGGCCAGTTTCAGTAACTGGTGAAATCATAGACAGAAACCATAGGTGGAGTTGTTACACTTGCTCTAAACTGTCATGGGGAACTTCATTGGTTGGATAGGTGCATGTTCAAATAATGGTTTCTATATGTCTGGATTGGGTGCTCTACCGTACAGCCCAAAAGCATGGAAAAGTGTTTAGATACCCGCAGGTATTTCTCTTTCGCACTTCAAGAAACTCACAGATACTGGCTTCTGGAAGTTATGTGTCTGGGGCTGCGGTTGCATGGTCTGAAGTACACCATTTGCAATGATACTGTAGGAATTCTGTGTTGAAACAACACATCTGATCAAGGATGATGTGCCCCCATCACAGCACCCAAACAACTGCTTGGGGGCAGCATTATTTTCAACATGCAACAAAGCACCATACAATATGCAAACAGAGAAGGGCCCCTGAGGAACTTATGCAAATGCTGCAGAGAATGCAGGAGAATAGCTCTTGGGCCAGAAGCAAGAAAACGCAGCATTGAGTCCAGCACTAATGAAACACAGCATGTGACCCTGGGGGAACACTTCTTAAATTGTGCATCATGGATGGCAGCATGCCTTGTATCTGATTCCATAAACTAGAGAGCTTGGATCAGGGCTTTTTTTGTGTCGAAAAAGCCCAGCAGGAACTCATTAGCATAATAGGCCACACCAAACAACAGAAACTCATTAGCATATCCAGCCACACCCCTGACAGCATAGCTCATTAGCATATTGGGCCACCCACCCCACGTTACCAGAAGTGTGGTCATCCAGCCA